CTTTAATAATAAATAATAAAATTAGGTATAACAAATTTTAAAAGATGTTATGTGAAAAAGCCATTATTGTGGATCGTAGTTAACAATGGTTAAAAAGTTCGACGAAAAACTTGTAAGAGAGAAAGAAATCTTGTTTTTTTTATCTTTGCTTTTCGAAGAACGATATCTATCATTTTTTGGATAGTTGCTGAAAGTTAGAATTTTCAAGTTGAAGGATCTTCGTTAAAGATCGAGTCCGACACGAGGAGTCACGTTTCTTTATCTCGAAAGAAGAAGCGTCGGGCCGACGGTGGACACGAGTCGTGTTTGTAAGTACGCGACGAGGGAGATGTTCATCCTTGTCCTTCGTCGAAAGGATCCTCTCTAGGCGTGTGTCTCAGGTGGTGGTGGAAGGATCGATGGGTAGAATAGATTAGCAGGGCTTGTGTAACCGAGCGGAGAAGCCCACCGATGCAACCAGCCAAGAGGTATTAGGTCAAGTAAGTAATCTCTTAGCCGTCACGCCAACAGGAGCCCAAGACTCTCTTTTACGATGGAAATACATCTTGATTGCTTTCGTCCCTTCGTTCCTCCTATCCTTGGAGATTTCTTATTTTATCTATCTATCTATCCATCCATCTATCTATCTATCTTCCTATCTTTCTCTTTCTATTCACTGCTCAAACATCCAAACCCATTTCCAATATTAACTAATCGCAAACGTGTAACATTTTCATCGTCACACATCGTAGTTTTATCGTTTACACATAAACCTTGACGCAACTCTGTCGTACAGAGAAACCCCCCCAACATTCAGCTGTACCTAAAAAGTTTGGTAAGGTAAAAGAATTGGTAAGATTTGCAATTTTTGAAATTCATATTATTAATAATTATACATATACGTATGGTCTTATGTTCTTATCGTATTCTCGTTGTGTTTTCGAAGTGGACGAGACTAATAAAAAGAGAACAAAAAAAAAGAGAGAAAAAAAAAACAAATCCGTTCTGTTTTTCATAGACGACCTTTCACCAGTCTAAGGCCGAGGTGACTCCCGTCTCGTTTCGTCTGTTCTCGGCCGAATTCGAGCCGCGTGGCGCGTAAACTCGTAAACGGGCGTGTTTAATACTGGTCCGGGTAGACTTGTACGCGCGCACGTCGTTGAGAGCGGCTTAGGATCAAAGGATCACGTCTCTCCTACGCATACCGCATCGTCCGGTACGAGGCACACCGGACCTCGATGCTTCGTGATGGGCATGGGACCGATTGCATTATGGTCTACGCTTTTACTTGGACGAATAAAAGACGTGGGCTTTGATGTATGTGTATGTCTTTTGACGTTTCTTCATTCGACCTACGAAATTTCTTTTTTACTCGAATTTCTTTAATTCGAGAATTATTTAAAACTTCGTTTAATCATTAGTTGTTTGTTTGCTCCTTGAATATCTTATTCATCGATTAGAATAATTAAAATTTATAGTATTCATTTAAAGATTGATTGCATTTAATACAATAAAATTAATTACCAATACAATTGCAATAAAAGACGTGGTCTTTGATGTTCTGACGTTTCTTCATTCGACCTACGAAACATTTTTTTTTTTTACCAAATTTGTTTAATTCGAAAATTATTGAAAATTTCATTTAATCATTAGTTGTTCAAACGATTGGTTTGATTGTTTTGCTCATTGAATATCTTATTTATGAAGAACAATTAAAATGTATAGTATTCATTTAAAACTTTGCACGTGTTAAAGAGTAGTGGTAAGACTTGATTGATGACACCTGTCAATCGTTTTCAAAGAGGATGAAGAAGCGTCGGAATCATCGTTTACGGTGAAGTTGAGAGTTTTCTTGTTGGAACCGGCTTGCTTCGACCACCGGTAAAAGGCGATTTTTATGCGGAAATCATACAAGTCCCGCCTCGAACACTCAAAGAAGTTTTCTTCTTGTAACATACGCCCATCTTGTCGTTAGGTGGTCTGCAAGGAGTGTCGATCGATCGAAATCATGATCAATCTTCTTTACTACAATGTTTTATAATTTGAAATACAATTAACGGATTCATTTTAGAAAGCATATAATGTGGTATGAAATAATTGATAAATTAAATTTTTTTTTTGTAATTTTGACTTACCTTAGATACCTTTCATAATTATGGCCACATTATACGTTTCAAAGCTGTCAAATAAATCAACGAAAAGAAATATTTTCGAAAAGAAAAAATATCGAAATCGTGATCGTGTCTAAAAAAAAAAAAATTAATAGAAAGAAATGGTAGTCTCCTACTTCGTGTGAGGTCCAACTCGCGTTCATATAGTTTCGACTTTCGCGAGGACCGCGTTTCATGACTATTCATGAAGGATCGAGGGTAGTCGATGGAGAAGAGAGAGAAAGAGAAGAGCTAATGCGAAAAAGGGAAGCAACGAAGGACGCAATTTTACGTTTGTGCGAGACCGCACATCCGCCGGCTAGGATCTCTGTAAGGATCCGGTAGGACAATGCCGGCTTCTTTGCTTCTTTTTTATTTTTATTTTTTTTTCTCTTTTTTTCTTTTTCCTTTTTTTATTTATTCATTCACTGTTCTTCCTCTTTCACCTTAGTTGAAAGAAAGAAAGAAAGAAAGAAAGAAAGAAAGAAAGAGAACGGGAACGAGGTGGTCCGAAAAAGAAACCCGCGAAAGGATCCCAAGTGGTGGTGAGGAGGGGGACAAACAGAAGTATGATCCAACATGAAAGGATACCGCCTCCGTTCTCGCAGGACCCGTCCCCGAGTACTCAAATTTGGATTTATGCAGGACGATATGCGGGGCCCCGGACCCGCTCGTTTGCCACGCATGCAAATCGCCAACCGATCTAACGTTACGTAGAAATATCGTTCTTTTCATACTCTCTGTCTCTCTTCTCTATGATTAAGTATACTTATCTTTATGTAGGAAAATGTTATCATTTTTCTAATCTTTTTTATTTTAAATGCGCTGTATTAGTACAAAGTACTTCTAATCATTGTAAGTATTTCAATAGGTTAAAAATATTGTATAAATTAATTTCACATTTTTAAAGAATCATTTACTATAATCATGAATGATATTATATATGTATATCTTTTATCTAAACGAATAACTCTACTGTATTATTTCTTCTTTGATGACTGAACCCACGTGATTGTTGTACAGATATAACGCGGAAGCTTCAGCACGTGGCTCGAAATATATGCCGGGAGGTAGGTAAGTGTTTGCATTGGTTAGGGTTGCCCGAGGTACGTTTCACGTAGGGATTGGTCAGTTTAACGGCGCAAAACTAGCTTCGTTAGCTGATTGAGTTAGCTTGCTCGCGGTCAGCACTGATTAGAACAAACCGACCGGCCTACGCCGCTTGATTGCACGAGATGGATGGAGAAGGAGAATGATCGAGTTTGAAAGAGAGAGATAGAGAGATAGGAATACACGCGGCCTGCTAAAAGAGGAGGTGGAGGACGAGGAGGAGGGAGTGAGTGAGGTTCGTCCATCGTTGGATGGTGGACGGTACTCAACGAGCAGGCCGTTTTCGGATTTTGTTCGACCAACCAACGGTAGCGAACGATATTCTGCTAGGTACGTGAGCCGATTGCCAAGACCGATAACGTTTGCGGTGCCAGCGTGAGAGAGAGAAAGAGAGAGAGAGAGAGAGAGAGGATGGCCGGTTCTCTTGACTAATTGGCAATACCTCCTCGGCGAATGACCATAAACGACAAGAGAGTATATACGTATACGTACGTAGCACGGCCCAGGGAATTAAGCTCAAAGACGTAACCCTTTTGCCAAAGGTAGGGGCCGCTTGTAATCCGATATCGAAAGGCACGATGTTGCTACTGTTGTTACTGTTGCTGTTACTGTTGTCGTTGTCGTCGTTGTCGTTGTTTCCATGATCTTGTTGCGAACTCGATCTAAGGAAATTAAGGATCGGGGCCGATTCGTGAGTATCCTTAGAAAGAGAGAAAGAGAGAGAGAGAGGAAAGGAAGGTGCTTGGTTAGCTGGATACAACTCCGGTTGTTTGTTTCTTTCATTTCCAGGATCCTTAGATCGTGGGAATTTTTTTGTCATCATCCCAAATTGTAATTGGTAATGAGAGTGATAAAGATAAGAGTGGAGGAGAATAATTGTTTGTTGATTAGTTTTTTTCTTTTTTTCATCTTTATTGTTAGACTTTTGATAAAACGAATAATAATTTATTTGATTTTTCTTATCAATAACTTACATTTACAAGTTTATAATAAAACTATTCGAATTAGTTGATTTTTGATTAACATCTACTTTGTTGAGACAATAGAGACGACGATCGATCGATCTAATTGCTTATTAAAAAACAAAGAGATGTAAATGTAAAACGATGAAATGATGTAAATGAAGAAGATGAAGATTAAGAAAACGATGGTGAAAGGAAGAAGGTGGCTGGAGGAGTATTTTCTGTCGCTTTAGAAGAAATCTCTCTCTCTCTCTCTCTCTCTCTCTCTCTCTCTTTCTCGTCTGGAATAAATCATTTTAGAAATCCGGCATTATTTCTTTTAAGAATGGCCGTATTACTATAGAGAAGACGATTACGAGTGTGTAGCAGTGGTGGTTAACGAAGACGACAAAACGTAACACGGGGGCGGAGAGTCGATAATTAATTCCGATGCTAGGGCCTCTGAGGTTCTGCCTTGTCGGCCATGTTTTTTTCCATCCTGCGAGTTAGGGGATGCAAGTCTCGAGTGCATCGCTCTTTGGCGAATCTCTCAGCAGTCGGCTTGCCTTCTAACGAAGGGTGCCCTTATCCTTTCTCTTTTTCTCCCTTTCTTTTTCTATCTTGTTCATTTTTTTTTCTTCCTCTTCTTCTTCTTCTTCTTCTTCTTCTTCTCCTTCTTCTTCTTTTATTTTAATAATTTCCTTTCTCCTTTTTATACGACTCTTTTCATCTTTCTGAGTTTTCTGAACTTTACGAAATTGCAATCTCTTGTTGGCCATCTTTTATCGAATGATAAAAAGTGATCCTTGATCTTTCGATCTTTTCTCTTTCTCTCTCTCTCTCTCTCTTTTCTCGCGTCTGTGTTTTGAGAATTTACTACAGAACTCTGTTTCTCTCGGGTTTGTACTGCGAGAATGCATGTTGGCCACGAGGTGACTGCGTTTATTTTGGATTCAGTGCACACGACGTTTAAAAGAACCGAAAGAAGAACGAGAAGAAAGTCTCGAAGATTCCCACACTCCAGGAGTCCCGAGACTTTGCTGGTTTCTTTTCTCTTTCTCTATCTATCTCCGTTCTCTTTGCTCGTTTCTCTGCCACGTTGCTTATTTCATCAAATTCCATGAGACGCATTAGATCGATCAAGTATATCGATTGACGTTCGAATCGATCCTGCTTTCATTCACTTCCATCTTTGTTTAGTGATAGATAAATCGTTTCAAGTGGAACCAGCTAAAAATAAAGATAATAATTAAATAATTTTCATATATTTTATAAGAAATTGAAAAAATAAACGCGTTTGCTGAATATACTTGTTTCTTATTTGTTTTGTTTTTATTTTTTGGTTCAGTACCAGACCCATTCTACACGAAGGGGGCCCATTCAAGAGAGAGAGAGAGAGAGAGAGGCCTCCTTGTACGTCACTATAACTTCTCTCACGAGCACGATCTAGTTTTCATTCATCTCCGCTTTGCCGATGACCTCGCGGTAACCTCGTGCTCGTACTCGAGACGAATACTTGTATTACGCTCCATTCTTCTTCTTACCTATTTTTTTTTTTTTTTTCCATCCATTTCGTCTCCTACCATTCGGTTTATTTTTCTCTAGAGAATATTATTTTTCTTATTTGAAGATTTTTATCTACTTCTCTCTCTCTCTCTCTCTCGCTCTCTACTCTACGTGGTTACAAAGCTAAATTGTTTCACACACAAAAGTTTGACTCTACAAAAATTTATTTTTATTCCTTTTTAATGTTCTGTTTTTATTTCTTTTTTTATTTTTCAAAAAAAAAAAAAAATAAAAAATAAAAAAAAGACAAGCAAGATTAAACTTATATAAGTAGAGTTTTATACATAAAAAAAAATATTCTGTATTTTATTTTTCTTCTACTTATAATTCACGGTTATAATCTTACATTGCATTAACATATGTTTCATATTTTTAAAGTTGAAAATCGTTTGGAAAGTATAATTGAGTTCTCAATGATTTACCATATAATTATTTGAATCATTTGAATGGTTAGAAACGATCAAACGACTATGACCAAGCAACATGGGATGTTGATCTTACTAAGAAAAATAATCGGATCTCAAAGAGTTGTAAATAGATACACGACCATATTCGATTGAAAATTAGAATTCTACTTGAGAGAAAGAGATAGTTAACGGCGTTAAGTGGGAGGTAAACACAATTACATTCATTGTCCTTAATTGCGGTAACGAGATAAGATACGATAACGCGTTTAATTGCCGGCAAAACGGACGGGTTACGCGATTCGACGAAGTTGCACGGCTCTTAGTTGATTCTACACAAATACACACACCACATAAAGAGAAAGAGAGAAAGATAGAAAGAGAGAGAGACAGACAGATATAAACACATACACATACACATATGTAAGTACGTTCCCGTTCCTATCTTCCGACGCAATTATGATACCTACTTGTAAGTGCATTAATAATACACGCGATCGCGTGTATCAGCCGAGTAGCAGAAGTAAGCTCGTTCGGACGTTGTTAACAGCGTTATATCGTCGCCCTTGTCTTTTCCAGCTCGAAATGAGTAGCTTGGTGAGTAGTAAGTAGTAGTAGTAGTGGTAAGTAGTAGTAGTAGTAGTAGTAGTTAGTAGCAGGTGGCTCGCTCGACCGCTTCACCGATCACTTTCTTTACGAAATTTATGAATTCCCTTGGTGTCTTCTTTATCATAAAATAAAGCTGAACGTTTAGTCTTCTTCTTATTCTTCTTCTTCTTCTTCTTCTTTCCAATCTTGTTTCTTTCTTTTCTCTCTCTCTCTCTCTCTCTCTCTCTGTCATCGTTACTTGTAAAACGTACGAAACTTTATTCGATTTTTCAAGATCGAATTCGAGAGCTTTTACGTATTCTTCTCTTGAATTCTCTTGGCGAATTCTCTTGCTGAAATTCTAAGAACGACTCCTGGTCATTTGAAGTTAAAGAAAGAAAGAAAAATCGTTGGAGAGAGAGAGAGAGAAAGAGAAAGATGGGTTTCGTGAGACACCTGGTCTACGTGATTGGCCTTTCTAAAACGCAAATTGCTGTGGGGAAGAAGAGATTAGAAATGTTTTTTATTTCTTCTTCTTCTTCTTCTTCTTCTTCTTCTACTTCTGCTTCTACTTCTTCCTCTTCTACATGAAATTGTTCATATCCTGTCTTGTTAGAGTTTTAAACAAGAAGATAATAAGAACACTAATTGGATAAATTTAGATATTTTATTGACAAAATGTTAAAGCAAATTACTTTACATGTGTGCAATATTAGAAAATGAATTAGAAGCAAATTTTAAAATGAAAAGTTCATTTGTTCAAAGAGGCATTGATGATAGAAAAATGATTGGAATATAAACGTTGATCTGCCAGTGACGTTTGAAGAAGTTCGAGTGAAAAGAAGACGGCCAAGGGCGGTAAAGCGAGAAACGAAGAAGAAGAAGAAGATAAAATAAAGGAGGAGGAGGAGGAGGAGGAGGAGGAGATGAGCAAGGAGGGCCAGAAGGAACAGAGGGGGGGGCAAGAATATAAACAAGAGACGGTCCCCGGCCACCCAGCTAGAGGACTTCTCTCTTTCTCTCTTATCCTCTTCTTCTTCTTCTTCCTCCTCCTCCTCTTCTTCTACTTCTTCTTCTTCTTCTTCTTCTTCTTCTTCTCATCCTCATCCTCGGTCCTCTTACTTCTCGTCCTGGTCCTCCTCCCGCTGGCTGCGCTCGATATTCAAACTAATAAATTAGGAGGCCCTCCGGGGCCCGGTCCGCGTATGAATCATCTAAAACAATGGAATGCAGACTAAGATGGCGCCTCCCTCCCTCCCTCTCTCTCTCTCTTTTTCTTTCTACTCGTCTCACATCTTCTTCTTCTTCTTTCTACTCTGCAGAGGAGGAGAAGACGCAGAAAACGGCAGACTTTACTGACAGTTCGACGACAGACAGCCAGTTCGAACTTGCTATCGGGAGGTCCTTTTGTCTCTTTCTATATCTTTCTAGTCGAGACATCAGTGGTTCTCATTTCTATATATATACATTTATTTCCCCCACTGTCACTCTCTTTCTTATCTTCTTCTTCTTCTTCTTCGATTAGCTTTGATTCTTTATAAAAGTTTGTAGAGAGTCTACTTCATCTTTTTCATCATCCTCCCTCTTCTTCTTCCTTCTTCTTCTTTTCTTTAACCTCCTCCTCCTCCTTATTGTTTTTGTTTTTATCATCAACATTAGATTTAGATTTTGAAAGTAACTTTTAGTTCCATAATTGGCACCGATGCGTGGCCCCAACCACACGATTCCTTTAATTGCCAAGACGTCTCTCCTCCTCCTCCCTTCTTCCTCCTCCTCCTCCTTNATTGGCACCGATGCGTGGCCCCAACCACACGATTCCTTTAATTGCCAAGACGTCTCTCCTCCTCCTCCCTTCTTCCTCCTCCTCCTCCTTCTTACTCAATCCAGTCACGGATTCGTTCGGGCGAGAAACTCGCGACTCTTTAAACTCGTTCCTCCGGCTGCCATGGAATTAAGATTCGCGCCTCTGTCTAACGCTTCCTCGTCTTCTCTCATTATCCCAATCTTTTATCACGTCAGATAATAATCTTGAAAAAAGAAAATAAAAATAAAAAGAAAAGAAAATAAAACGAAACGTTATATATTTCTTATATAATATAATATAATATAATAATCGTGTTATCCATTTATATAGGTTAGATTATCTAATAAAAGTGTTTTACTTTTCGCATCAGTTGAATCGAAACGTTTGTACGGCTCGGTTGTTGGCTAAAAGCATGCTGGAATAATAAATCACTCCCTCCTCCCCCATTCCCGATTTCATCCCCCTTTCCTACGTGTTGGCTCAACAATGACCATTGTCCGTACGATACGCGACCACTCGAAATGATCTCCGGTCACAAGTCATTACCTTTTCATTTTAAAACCACCCCCGCACAACTCGTACATTCTACTCGTCTATACTATTTCTCTTTTCTCTTTCCACTTTTCTCCCGATTATCGTTAAAATGAATGGAACAAGCATAAGGTTTTCGGACAAGGGATAAAGGAAGGGAGGAGTTGTGAAGATGGAAGTGGAGGGGTTGGAAATCGTGTGAGTCTGATCAACGATGTGATGTTGTGTTGTTCTTAGATACTCAAAAGGATTCTTGTTTTGGCTCGTGCCACAATTCTGCCACGTTAATAACCGACAGCTGTGATTCTATTTTCATCTCGTTTACGTTCGACAGATGGAAGAGAGAGGAACCGAGAGGAACCTACCTAACTTTGAACTAGAGCAACCTAAAGAACTGGGTAGATCGATTTCTGATCGTTCCTAGAACACATTCTGTTAGGTCCAACTTTGGCCATTGTGTTTACAAAATTATGGTCCGATTGTAGTTTTGAAAAGTTTGATGTTTAGACTGCTTCCTTCTTTTCTTCTTTTACTTTTTATTGTTGTTGGTAGTTGAAGGTCTAGTTATGTATGTGATTGAATATTTCCTGATTATCTATCTTTACGAAAATGATGGATAAATTTTGTCAGAGGGGAAAAAAAAAGAAGGAGTGGACCGATGAAAATTTATTGCTTATCCTCCCACCCTTTCTCCCCACCCTCTTTCTCTCATCAGTCCGTATAAAAGCATCGATTCTAAGTACTCAAGGATAAATATACGCTTAAAGGGACGTGACTCGTGTCTATTATACTGAACTTCCTGAAACGGAATTACCTACTAAATGGATTTGGACGGGGAATGATCATGCGAGTGAGAGAGAGAGAGAGAGAGAGAGAGAGAGAGAGTAGAGGTTAACGAAAACTATTATTCGCAATGATTTTCGGAATCTCGTTGTTAAATGATACGTGTGACGGATTATTTGTCAAAGTTTTGTAACATCCAAATTTGTTCCCTAAATCGATAAGATTCTTGGACAATTTATTTATTTATTTATTTTTTTTTTTTTTGATATCAAGATAATGACATTTAATTCGCGTATCGGAAAAGATATTTCAGTATAGGAATTATTTTTCTTTTTCTGTGTGTATATGTGTGTTTGATTTTATCGTATTTCTTTAAAAAAAAAAAAATAAAAAAAAAAAGGAAAATCGATTACGAGAGGAGAATAAAGGGAGAGAGAGAGAGAGAGAAAGAGAGAGATCATTTATCCTTCTAACACAGGTCTCCCACCCATCGTGGCACCTGAAACAATTCCAAGTTATTTTATCCAAAACTGGTGAAAGCGTTTACCTTTATACATACATATATACATATACATATATATATATATATATCAGACAAACGTGAATTCGTCGTTTGTTCCCAATTTAAAACAAAACAAAACGTTGAGTGTCTTTACACAGAAAGAGATAGAGGGATGCAAATAAAAAAAAAAGAGAAAAAAAGGGAAAAAAAGCAGAAAACGATCGAGGGTGAAAACGAGATAGATAGAGAGAGAAAGAGAGAGAGAGAGAATGGCACTGACAGGCGAAACGCACGTAATAAACCACTTCGAGAGGGAACGAGCGTTTTCACGACGATTAACGGGTGTTCCAGGCAAGCGCCGTTTTTGTAAAATGCCGCTTCGAAACGTTCGTCGGTTCTACCTACCAACCAACCCATTCTCCTCCTCCTCCTCCTCCTCCTCTTCCTCCTCCTCTTCCTCCTCCTCACTCGGTCGGACTACTCGCTTGCCTGGCAAATGGTTTATCCGAGCTAAAACCGCGGCCGCTAGAAAATTTAAATCAGAATGGAGCCGCGAATGCCCGGACAATATTGCCGCGATCGTATTGTTCCACTCTGTTCGAGGCTACCCGCTTTTTTCCCCGTAAAAGAGTGAAAGACTGACAGAGATAGAGATATATATATATATATGTCTATACAACTGGATAGAGAGAAAGAGAGATAGAGTAGACTCACCAATCGCAAAATCGACCTATCTAAGTATTTGTAACGTGTATAAGGGAAAAAGGGTAGGGGTAGATTCAATTGCTCCCTGCCACACATCGCTTTTTCCTCTTTTATATATTTTTCCTTCCTACTGAATAAATGAAAGAGAGAGAGAGAGAGAGAGAGAGAGATAGAGATAGAGAATAGAGATAGATCGACAGATCGACGTTTCGCGCTATTATCAAACCTTCAACTCTACCTTCCTCTATTTTATTTTATTTTTTTTGATTCTTTTTTTCCTAGTGATATGATTTAAACTCGTAGAAAAAAAGGGATCCTTTTTTTCAAAGTGATTATGACGTTTCTATCGACTATCATCGATCGACGTTTTCACACGATTAACGTTCGTGATTTATCGTAATAAGTCGTGTAAGTAAATTTGTTTCCAAGTTTTTTCTAATATATTACGGACATTTTGTTTTCTTGTTTTTTGATCTTCGATCAAAAAAAAAAGAAAAAACGTGGCTTGAGCATCCTAGTATATATGGACGGTCTATTTAGAAAGTGAATTAAGTCCATTTTCTCTTGTTTCGAGAAAATTGAATATTGGCATATCAATTATCACACAATTTCTTTTACCGACCAATTTAAAATTGTACAAAACATGATCACATTTTAAGAAATTAAATATTAATTAGTTATCCATAAGAAAGTTGACATTAAATTAAGCATAAATTACGTGATATTTCATTTGTTTTTGAAAAAGATGGACTAACACCACTTTCTAAAATAAACGATCCATTTATAAAACTTAAATATTAATTTTGAAGAAACATGTATTGATT